CACCTTTTTACAGTATAATGTCCCCATCACTACACTGGGGCATTAGGACCCACACAGGCTGCGGGGTGAGCACCCCCTAGTGGCCCCACTAACACCTCTTCCAGCAGCAACCTTAGTTTTTTCCAGGAGGTCTCCCATCCAGGTACTGACCAGGCTCACACCTGCTGAGCTTCAGTGGGTAGTCAGTTGTGAATTGCAGGGTGAGACAGCTGCTGCCTAAAAGAACTCCTGCACTCCTGAAAGTAGCTAGCAGTGCATGCAGGACTGATGCAGCTCATGCAGATACCCAGGTAACAGTGCAGGGCTGAAGCAGTTTGGCAAAGCCACTGAAGCAGGTGTTCCCCAGGAGAGCTAACATTCGCAGGCTGACTCAGACCTACCCGGCCCCAGCCTCACTTTGGCTACTATCACCCATGTGATGGCACCAACTGTGCCAGAACCGCTGTGAATTTGATCATAAGACTTGCCGTGTTGTACAAGGTGTTGCACAACAGGTACTCCAAAGCCACCTTGTCACTTGTCAACGCTACCCCTACACACACACCCCTCTGCTGTGCTCCAACATAATTGCCTGCTTGAGATACTGGCATGCAGATGACACCTGTGCAAGAGGATTGCACAAAAGGCTTCTAATAACAGTTCTGTTTAAGTAACAGTCTTCGTACAACAAAAAAGGAAATTTTGCATTCATACATTGTCAAGTACTCGTGCAACTGTTGACAATACTTCAAAGGCTTTAGAAACCACCCATGAATTCCTCCCTGGTAGACAAACCTTTGATCCCTTTAAAACACAATCATATTTAAATACTGTTTAGACATTTCTTTTAACATGAAAGCTGTGCAAATTCATATGGCTTTACTTAAGGATAATAGAGGTTAACAGTGTTTGCTTGCCCTGTGGAACAAAAACCACAAAAGCATCGCAGGACATCTAGTGATGGTTTAAAAATATTTTCTGCACACACAAAGTTACACATGCAGATGACTTTCTAATAAAATCATTATTTTTCAGCTGCAGCTAAATAATTAGGTCGTGAAATGTAATTTTGAAATGTTACACTCCAGTCTCGTGCTAGACTGAGACCAGTGTTGGTGTTGAACAACTTTACACTGTTCTGCGTTTTTCTTTAACTCCTTCCAACTACAAAGAAAATGTCTGTCCGTACACGACAATCTGCATTGAGATTTTTTTAAACGGTGAAGCACTATCAGAAAGCAGGATATTAGGAGAAGGCAAACCAGCGCAAACAGCTCCTTGTCTTCCTGGTTCAGCTATAATCACACATTCTGATACTGCCCTACAAGACCTCTAGTTCAGCATTAATCTCAATGCGTCTTTACACTCCAGCAAAGTCTTGCTACAAGGTCAGCTTTAGTATTTATTTTTCACGCTCACAATTTTGTATATCTACTTAGCTTGGTTACCTAAAATAAAAATACAATCAGAAGAAAAAAAAAATCAAGTGCATTTTTATAAACAGACAATTAAAAAAAAAAGGGTTTGATCAATTTTGGACCCAGCCACTTTACAGTTCAGTATTCTCTGGACTTGACTTCAATGAAGCCAGATGTCTAGGTTTGCCAGCACAAAGAAGAGGTAAGAATTTGATCATTAGACCTCAAAAGCGATCCAGTGCAATACTGACAGACGAGCATTGCAAGAAGCCCTAAATGACGAGCAGTAGGTGTAGAGTAATGATGCACATCTAACAGACGAGCCATAATTAGGATTCGCTACATCACATTTTGGCAGTAGGCACATCCACTGAATGCAACCTAGAGATGTCCTTGCCTGGCACATGTATAGCAACCTTTTACTTAATAGTCTTAGACGTTGGCTTCTTTTAAATAGAAGAGGGGATATCATCTCCCAGACCAGCACCTCACAATGTCTCTATCATGCTTAATTATTGCAGCCTACATTTGGGTAAAAAATAACTAAAGGTCCAAGTAGAGGGATCTGGAAGTATTTGCTACAGCAACCAATGCACAAAGCGTTCTTTCCAATCCTCATCTTGGGCCAAGATCAAGTATACCCACTCACAGACAGGACAATAATAAAGTGGAATAAGCAGCTTGATCCCAGCATGGGGTGGGATGATCTCTTAACACGGAAGCTCTCAGCACAGACAAGGGCTCTGCACATCTTGTTCCTCCGAGAGGTGCACCATACTGCACTCACTAGGCTGTTTCAGTCTTAAGGGTTTGTGGTTCTTCAGCTTGTAGGCAAGGGTCATAAAGATGGCATCAACGTGTTCCTTCTCTGTGGGGTCCCTTGCTGAAGTCTCAAAGAGGGGAAAGTTGTAGCTGTCAGCAAGCCTCTGAGCCAAAGAGGTGGAGACCTGACATCTATCCCTCAGGTCACACTTATTACCGACCAAGATTCGGGGCACCAGGGGAGAGACGGCGTGTCTGCCACACTCTTCGATCCAGTCTGGCAAGTTCTCAAACGTCGACAGCTTAGTGATGTCGTACACGAAGATAACGGCGTGCACGTTCCTGTAGTAGTGCTCCACCATGCTTTTACGAAATCTCTCCTGGCCCGCCGTATCCCAGATTTGTAACTGAAAAGGAAAAGACATTTAGAATTAGGATGTTTTAACGACTAAAAACGTGAATTTCACAGGCTGTGGCAGATATGTAACTTCTCTGTAATTCAAGAGAGGGATACTGTATGTGGTTGTAGTTTTCTTTTAGTTTGCTGATCAAATTTTCTTGTGTCCCTTTTCTATGTAGGGCTCTACAATCTACAGTTCAAAGCCCCTTCGTAGAGATATTGTAACGGGCTAGAGAAGTTTCGTTTCAATCACAAGGATCTAGGTGCAAGCTACAAAGATATTCTGTTATTTTAATTAACATGCTAGGTATGATTAGCTCTATCGCTACATTTCATGCATTCCTGTAAATATGTACTGCACATATTGATTGAAGGCTACAAAGGGGATGCCATCCCGTACGGGCTGCTTATGTGAGTATTTGGTTGCAGCGACCCTCTAACAATTTCATTTCCATAGTATCACGATCAGACATTCTCCATATAATATTCTTAGTCCGAGGTGTAAACGCAGAAAACCTAGCACCGTAGGCTGTGCTTAAAAAGTGAAAGTGCGAAAACGGGCTGCAGTAAAAAAAAAGCTCAACTCGGTAAATAAAAAAAAATCTGCACATATTTAGCTTTTCTCATCTTCGTTTTCTTTTAGAGTAAATAATTTAGAATAGATAACCTGAACATATTCACGTATAGCTGTAGGTTTAATACATCCTGCATTGTCAATGATCCATTTTATTACAGGAACACATTTTTTATTTGTGCTCTGATTTGGAGGGTATTTTGTAGGTGCAGAAATAGGCCTTAACAAAATATTGCGAAGAATTAACCTAATTTAAAACAAAAAAAAAACATTTTGGGTGCGATAACCTCGACTGCTGCGCTTCTGCGTGAAGCAAATCAATAATAAAAGGTAATTAACACCTTCCCCCCAACTAAGTTCATCCTTTATATTCAACCTTTATACTAGTTGGTTAAAAAAATCACTCTCACCTTGATGTTTTCTCCATCTATCTCTACGGTCCTTTCTCTAAAATCCACTCCGATTGTAGCCTCTGGATTTTTCAGAAATTTTCCACCGCAAAACCTGTAACTCAGGCAGGTTTTCCCAACGTTGGAGTCACCGATTACAATTATCTTAAAAATCCTTGTTTGCAGACAGTCATATTCTGGATGCAAATCTTTCGTATTAGTCCTGTTATGCAAAGCAACAATACGGTAGACATTTTCGTTTTCCTTAGCCATTGCAGATAGACACCCACCTCAAATACCGCGAGATGTGGGGAGAAATAAGGAGCACGCGTGGAGTCGGACCTGAAGTCACTTAGCAATGTTGACAAACTGTGCGTGGAGTTATTTCCAAAATATGGACGTCACATCGTCCAGCCAACTGGCAAAGATTACCGTTCCTATCTCATGATCTCAGTGTACCAATATACGTAAATGCTCTAAAGATATCCAACATATTTGGTAAGGTCATCAATCATGCCTTTATAAATGGTCTGTGAAATCACAGATAAAGTTTGTCCAGCTGCAACGTTGTATAAATAAGACAATTTCCTATTATAATATTAGATACGATGGATGAACATTTTTCTAGTTTGCTTTTCACAGCCTTTAGAGAGCGTTTTGCTATTGTAAAACAGGTTTTCTCAGATAATAATGTACATAAAACCACTTGTTTTCTGAGTATTACCAATATTCCATCCAGAAAATCACAATGACCCATACCAGTAAGGCGTCTAACTTTGGTAGCTAAGCATGCATTAGGATTCACGCAAGGATGGAGCAAGAACAGATGATTCTACAGTGAACAGGGACCAATACATTTTAATGTGACTCTGAAAACTTTGGCTTTGTTTCGTTAGCGAACTCGTGACCACAAACCTCACCATTCATCTTCAACTATTCTGTATGAATAGTTGAAGTATGAATGGTTTTTCACTGCTTTCAATAAACTCTAGAAAAACTAAAAACAATGAATTGGGTTCATTTCTTCCCTGTCAACCAGCTAGCTTCTTAACATTTTGTTGTTGAAAGAAGTAAAGTTGTAATGCTAATCATGCCGGTTTTGAAATATCTTGTCTGTAAAAATTCCAGGACTTCAGACTCTCTATTCAGTAGTCCACCAATTTGTAGGTCTACTCAGAAATAATCTATATCAGTTTATTCTTGCATTAACTGGAACAATTTAACACACAGTGGGTTCAAGAATTACTAGTACCCTTGATAAGGATGAACCAAATAAGCTGTATAAAATAAACCGCACAGACAATGAGCGTTGTTTAATGCCCCCAAATGGGAAACCTACAGGCTATTATTCTTATACACTTATTTTAAAACAATTTGAAAAAAATGATTACTATTTTTTCTCAAAAACAGGTGTCAAAAGCATTGGATCCCGTTTCTTGTACTTGGTGCAACGTCCTCTGGCATGGGTAACAGCACAAATGCTTTTCTTATAATGTTTAATAAGTTTGGAGAACACACACTGGGAGGGATTTTGAAAAATTCCTGTAAGCAGAAATTTTCCAGATCCTTGATGTCCTTATGGATCAATTCCCAATGAAAAAAAAAACACTCCTTAGGACCGAGTCGTAATTAAATAATCAGAATTACATTGCAGATTTAATTTTGATTTTCTTTAAAAAAAATCCAGAAGATATCCAATAATGTTGACCCCTATGTTTTTGAGAAAAAATACTCTTACTCCTTTAAAAAAAAGTTTTGAAATAACCATTAACCATAAAGACCAATACTTTCAAGGAACAAAGAGACAAAGAAGAAATATCAAACATATTTTTCCCCCCATTATAAAAAAAATACTTTGTGAACAAACACTGAAAAATGTTGCATTTTGAGTACAAAATAATTTATTACAGCATTACATAAATTGGCAATATTGTACAGTGAAACCTTTTAGGAGAATTCTGCACACAATTTGGGGGACAGTAAAATGACAGGGGGAAAAAGTGCTGTAATATAGGTCTCCCCTCCCCCTCCCAAATCCAGTAATAACCAAACAAAATTCACAACAACTGCTATCCACTTAATTCAACAAACGTCTTAACACTTAAAGTGTCTAGGAACAATGCAGACAATAACCGAGTAATGGAAATAACCACATCAATTGTTCACAGAGGACAGCAAACATGAATAAACCTTGTGAAAACAACAATGATGGAGCCAGTTAAAAAGAGCATTTTCAAGCAAGGTAATCTTTAAAGACCCTCCCTCACAAAATAAGTACTTTTTACCAAGACCTATTTTTTGCATTTTTGCTTTCTTTTTGATAAAAAGGTGAACAAAGCCTCCATCTTTATATTGAGGTTTAAAAGTCATTAAAATCACTAACGGCCCTGAGAAGGGTTACAAACAAAACATGCTCAAGTATGGACTTGTTGGATTTTGCCAATATCAGATAAAATACCATTTTATAACGCATGTTAACAGTGCAAAAGGCTACGGTATAAGACCACATAAAAACAGTGTATTGAACTGATTTATTTTAAATTAAAACTGCAGCATTTCTTAACTGTGTTAATGCTTAAGGCTAATATTTCTTGAAAATGATACTATGCATCTAAGTGACTAAAAACCCATCTGCAAAGACAAAATGTGCACAGCAATCAGTTACTGCCGCAGTTTTAAGACAAAGCTGTTGAACAAACATTCTTTTCACATCCTGTATCCAATGAAGTTTATTAAGAAAGGCATCAAGCAATCATGCACCTTAGCTACAACTGACCATGTGGTGTAATGGAATAAAAACCTGGGGCTGAAATGGGAATAAACAGTGGTGTTACAGCTTTGGATTTCAATAAAGCCCTGCTTTATCATTCACAAAAAACGAATCGCTTACACATCTTCTGATGTATTCTTTGTGGAGACGTACAGTGTCCAGAAACCATATAGCGATGGATGCAGAAGTAAAAATAAAACCATAACAAAAAGGCAATACATTTTCTCTTTCTTAATGGAACCACCTCTCCCCCACCAATGGCCTGGGGGAGGAAAAATGACAATTATGGCAGCGCTTTAAAAACAAAAAAACAGCACAAAAAAAACTTCAATTTGAAATCATTTATCAAAGCACAGAAGTCTTTTTAAATCCAGGACACACAGTTTTCTACCACATCCTTTAAAAAGGAAACCTGATCTATCTCCAGCAGTTACAGGTCAGTGGTGCTCAACGTCTCATACCGCTGCTGCGGGCTCAGATTTCATTGGACAGCACCTCGTGGTTAATAGTAGTGTTGTTCAAGGAGGCGGGGCATTTGTCATCCTCGTCCGCGGGAGGCAGGAAGGCGGCTGCCAGCGGGAAGAGCCGGTGGCACGCGGAGCGATAGTCCTCTGCCTGAGACTGGCAGCTTCCAAGACTCCCCTCTAACAGTGCGTCTAGGACCCTGGTGCAAGTCTGAGGAAACAGGCGTGGTGCCATATGAACAAAAAAGAAACATTCTGAATAGCTGCCGTGCCTGAAATCCAGTTTGCAGATAGGGTTACTGTTGTGTTATGAATGCCTAACCAATACAACACAATTTCAATGACAACGCGTGAGGTGAAAAAAACAAAAATCAAATGCCTGTAACAGCTCCGAAACACACACTTTGCAAATCACAGAGTAGGTCCTCACGTGACATACTTAAGTTGCTATCAAAGATTTAGGGAGCTGTAAATAACTCGGTTTCTTACTGCTCCGAGCACCTGACGCATGGTTTGACAGAACGATGATATTACCTTGGCATTTCTGTCTGACATTGTCTCATCCAGTCTCGTGGCTATAGAGATTGCTTTCTCTTGCCTTGTGTTATCCAGAAAATACATCATCTTGGCACCTGCAACACGGTATTAAATCTATATTTTAAAAATTGAAATAAAAGGCAGTGCCTGACATCATGATGATAATTTCATATGCCATTTAAACATTAAGGCATCTGAAGTTGAAAAAAAACATAGAGCAAAGAAATCCATTTAGAGACACTGTTAAATGTCAGAAAACTGCAATTTCAAATCAGAGTGGGCTATCCCTACCTGAAAGTAAGTGTTGGATGGAGTTTGATTTTTTCTTTAGGAATTCATCGTTGAAGGCCTCGTAATTCTTATTGGCAAAGATTTTCTTCATTTCTTGAGACAAGACTTTGTGCACTGTTTCATGGAGGTTACTGTGATCCGACACTAAATGAAAAGAGTAATCAGCAGATGATAAGATTTGCATGTGTCTTTGAAGACAGGCAAACAAATCGACACAAACTCCACTGTGGCTCTACGAAGTAACACTGACGTGTCTGGTTGTCTGTCTACGAATGAAAATAGACTCACCTGCTTTCGAGAACCTAATCAAGCACTCGTGTAGCCATGGGCTGTCTGCATCAATGGCAAAGGCTCTTTTAACCGACTGCAGCATCAGGAGGAACTTTCCTGGATCACAGCAATGAGTCAAGAATAACTCTAATTATCAAAGTACAACATACAAAAACATACATTTGAAATAATAATTGTATTGCTGCCTTTATTCTTCTATTGCTCCAGATGTTTCTTTAAGGTCTCATCCTTCCCAGTGCAAAACATACATTTGAAATAATAATTTTATTGCTGCCTTTATTCTTCTATTGCTCCAGATGTTTCTTTAAGGTCTCATCCTTCCCAGTGCAAAGCAGGGAATGTTGTAAATCAATATGATACACTAGTAGTACTAGACTATTTCAAGAAAGCATAAAAGCATTTAAAATAGAAGGTGAAGGTCAAAAATGGAAATTAAAATTGTTTAGGAGGGAGGATAGAAAGCTCTTCTGGACACATAGTGTGTCTGGAACTAGCTGTCCAGCTACGATGCTGAAGCTTGTTCCTTTCAATCTTTGAGAAAACATTTGGATAAGATCCTCAGGATCAATTAGCAATTGGGCTGAATGACCTTTGGATTTTTATAAATCTGTTGAATGTAGTGGATCAAATCATGGACGCTCTTACAAATTACTTTGTTTCTCACAATAACAAAACAAGGCTGAAGGTTAGTATGTCCACTGTTAATTTATCATTCACCTCTTTTTAAGCATGAGAAATATATTGTGTAACACGAGTACAGTACCTTTTCTAAAATAAATTTCAAATGCTAGGAGGTGTGTGTCTATACAGTCAGCCACAAGGTTTTTAAGGGGTGTCAGGAATTTGATAGCCTCTTCTAAAGGGTTTTCAACCTGTATGAACAAAGAGCAAGCACCGCAATGATAAATATTTTTTAAAAAGCATTTAAACATTTTAACAAATACTTGAACACCATTGATCTTGCACAGTCATAGGTTTCCTGTTACACATCCTTAATGATGTGTTAATGAACAAGGAGGTCTCTAAACAAATACACACAGAGCAGACAATGCCCTAATAAAAGGCAGCTTTTGAAGTACCAATATAACAAGAGCATTTTGTAAATCAAGTGCTCCACTTTAGCTTAATAAGGTGCTTCAATTTCTGGGCATAACAATCGAAATTTAATAATCAATTGTAGCATTTTATGTGCTTGCAGATATCTGCCTAAAAACAATAAAGTCTGTAACTATTATTTTTTACATTTTACCCCTTTAAATTCTTTGCGTTTTTGTAGAGGAAGTCCTCAACTCATTCAGTTTTTTCATTCTGCTCTGTATGTAGGCCTACATACTGAAAGCTCTTGACCCACAACAGAAAAAGTCAAGCAGCTCAGCAATCAGCAGTACTAGCACACGAGAGACATAATGGAAACTTTGCCAATAGTCAGTATGTTAAAATATACTTTGATAGAAAAATGAGCATTTTTTTAATAACTAGACATATTTAAGGTTTTTCTGAAGGTCTTTTACAGCTGTTTACACAAAACATTAAACATATTTACCTAAAAAACACCCCAGTGACTGGTTGTAAGTCTCACCATTATGCTTTCAATTAAATGCAGCAGAACTATTAAAATGACTTTATTCAGTTTTCCTCAAATAATCATGAAAATGAACTACTGCACATGTTAACTGTTATTCTAGCTATTCATTATTCTACAGTCAGTAATGAAAAACATTAAAGGGTATTATGAATACTTCTGCGCTGAAACGCATGGCCTTAAGAGACTGTTATAGCAAACATATTACGTTTAGGGGGTGATGCGTAAACAAGGAAAACTATTTTTCCCCTTCACAAAGAAAATCACCGAGTACCACTGTAGAGAATGGAGCTCGTACCCTTTCAAGCTTGTCTGGCACAAGTTCCTCCTTCGGCCCGCTGGTCTCCTCCTCCTCTTCATCCCTCCTCTTTTTCTGGTTCTTCTGTTGCCTCTCCCGTTCCGCGTGCCGCCTCTCCTCCTCCAGCTTGGCTTTCTTCTGTGCTCGCCGTTGCTTGCTCAGCATCTTCTTCAGTTCCTTGGCCGACAGGTTCTCTGCCCAACAGCAGAGGCACACAATAAGTTACCAGCGGGGACAGCACCACCCGCCTACAAGCTGTCTCTGTTGAAATGTAAATACCACAAGGCACACAGAGTTGTTTCTGCAGATACATTCTTTGAAAACTTACATTTTACAGAAAGCAAGAAAATAGTATTAAGAGTACAAACATGGGGCAGGTGCAGGCAAGACTTGTAAGATAAGATCACTTTATGGGCCATATACAATTTCTTGCATTAGGAATTTGTCTTTTCCCCTACCCCAGCTTGCTCTCCATGAGACACACAGACACAGACAGGGAGAGAATCTTGGGGTCAGAGCGCAGGGTCAGCCATTTATATGGCGCCCCTGGAGCAGTTGGGGTTAAGGGCCTTGCTCATGGGCCCAACGGAGTAGGATTCCTCTGCCAGCCGCAGGATTTGAACCGGCAACCTCGCAGCCACAGGCGCAGAACCTTAGTCACAGAACCACCACACCTCCCTTTTTTTTTTTTGGGTTAAAAAAATTTAAAGTTGTTCCTTGTTTTTGGTTTTTTTTAAATAATGGTAGAACCTTTTTGTCCAAGCCATCATTATCTGGGTAATGGTCTGTGTGCAGACTAAACAAAAATGTGACTTGAGATCAGTGATTTGATAAGCGCTGTGACCTTTGATCTCTCATGACAAATGACAGTAAATGACAGTAGTAAATCCCCCTGTGGAGAGAAACTAGATGCAAGAAATGTAAAAAACACACCAGAGTTTACTTCCTGTTCTTTGCTCTCGTTCGTAAGAGGATTATCATGTAGCTTCAAGTAGATTTCTATTGCACAGCGTGCTGCTTTGAAGTAAAAGGAGTGTCTTCTTAGGACATCCTCAAGTTTGAGGAGGTCCACATAGGCACGTAGAGTCATCTTCCTCATGCAGTAGGTATGGAAATCAAACTGGTCGTCTGTGATCTCAAAGAAGTGCTGCCGAGGACAGAACAGATGTTGGTCACTGTGTGTTTGCTGTCTGCATGAAAGTTATTAATTTGACAGGTGAAGTAACATTGAACACCAAAGTAACAGGAATATGGATTATGCATATATCCCGTTCATAGCTATAGTTTAAAAATGACAGCTCTGAATTTATTATATTTGTCACAGAATCAACATTTTATCTTAAGAATGTAAACTTTAAAGATGTGGAAAACATGTCTGAACATACAAATCAGATGAGATTTAAAACTAAAGTCCTGACTCTTCACAGTCATAAAGAAATCCCAGGGC